TTAGAGAGGCAAGCGACGATTATGATCTAGCTACTTATTGTTCCGTGGATGCATCACAATGAATCTGAAATTAGATTCATATGAATAGTTAGACGCTATTACTACTACTACCTATTTAGTACCACCTTCAAAGAATCCTCAACGAATGACTAGTTAACGAACTTCCATTTTCTCACTCTCTTTCTCCCTGTCTCTTCATAAACAACTGGGAAAAATATTTACTTTCAAAATGTCAACAGTAATAATTATTACACTTCACCTGCCATAAAGGCGACATTTATTGGCAATTATCAGGCCATCACGGGATTTACTGTCTGAAACTTCGTTAAATATTCACCGCTGTAGGCTGAGGCGGGCTCGTTAGAGATTTTTGCGTAGTAGCGAACAGACCCAACATTTATAATAGGCGATATTTTAACAAAACAACTTGCGGGTCGGCGTAGCCGTAAGGCGCCTGGCAGCTTGCGTAATACGTAATACCTAAGTTCACAGAGAAAACGATCCCTTACCTTTGCTGATTTTGCAGATAGCGAATGATTTGGGGTTTCAAGGATTGCTTGTTTAACTTAGCTAAAGTAAATTCGTTTGTTTCGTAGATAGTTACAATTTGGTAAGGGATTTTTATATGATTTATTATTATGAAACAATGCGCTAGGTAACTATTCCTTCAGCGTAAAATTACTCTAGTGATCCTGAAAAAATTTAATCGCTGTATCTAAGATGTGTTTGCGTTATTATCAGACGGGACGGACAGATAAAGACAATTCGATATTAATGTTGACAGCATATTCCGCAATCGGAGTTCATTTTTACATGTCTGCGTCACATCTAGCTTTGGTACAAAGTTACATAATAATAGTTTTCTACTATTTCATTTCCAGAGGAAACATTCATCTACAAAGCGAATACTCTCCGTATTCGATAAATTTCGAAGGACTTTGTGATTCAATTTCACGCACGTAATGGATCAGCATCAATAACGGCAGAGTTTCGCCGTAATCCGCGATGCCCGCAAACTTTTGGCTCGTATGAACTAGTCATGCGACGTGGATCCTCTTTATTCGCGAAGGATATTGCTATTCTAACATACTCGTAGTTCCCCATAGAACAATAATATCATTCAAAAGTTGTCAGTTTTATTTGTAAATCATTACCTATCTCACAGATTTTTAGAGGTAGTTAGTTGTACAAATACAACATTTGATTATAATACTGGAGCTCTATTTCGTGTAGGTAGGTATTACTAAAATGGATCACGACAGTTTAACTACATATTGATTAGACACGTACCTACATCATATCCTACTTGGATTAAAATAACCAGTCTTACCAGTAACCACATAGCTACGTACTTATTTTCTACTACATTACAATACTTAAGTATGATAAGTCTTGTCGAATAACCAGATTAAGGACGTTGTTTACCTTCGGGACGCGGCAGTATTCCCTTTATTGGTTTACCTTGGTCATTAAATTGGTAGCTACGCAATACGAAATTCAAATTGTTTATTGCTGTGGAAAATCACCTTTTTAACAAAACAGAAACCGGAGAACCTTTGCTGTTGACATCAAGACAAAATATGTTAGGTAAATTAAACTAAGTAATCTTCTGAAGATGAATTTCATCAAATCATTTGTTTTGTTAAATTACTTAACCTTGTAACAACTCTCTTCTGAAACTAACTTTAAACACATACATATTATGTGTACACGTTATCATCATAACCATACTTTACCTACGTAAAAACTTTACTTCATGTCATGTTTTCAGATTAGGGACGTACCTACTAGTGTGTTCGTATAGGCATTGTTCTCCCAAGACATAAGTGCCTTACAGACAGGATAATACCTACTAATAAGATTTTACCCTACTCATCTCCATTCTCCGGGCATGAATATTTTGAATAATAATAAAGCAATATGAGTTATAACGAGGTAGGTACTACAACATGCTTGTTCATTATTGTAGATTAAACAATGAATGAAGGAATATTGGAATATTACCTGTCTATCAATAATTTGAGAAATGGGTAAAGAAAAACATTTCTTAACACATTTTTTAGATATTACATAGGCGTGAGGCTTATTCAAAAAGTCAAACAAATTGGGGCTTTTATTCCAGCGATCTAATTTGACTTGGTAACAGAAAGTTTTTCGGAGCCAATACGCAAAATTTCCCAATTCCAATTGCCGTTTGTTATGTCGTCATACGGGTATACAACGAAGTTTTAAATTGGGGTGATGTTATTCCTTTAAATGTGCCTGTTGTTTTACTTAGAGATACATGTACCTACGAGTATATTCAGAATTATTATAATCTACACTAATATCATAATTGTTCGTTTGTTTGTATTGAGTAGGATCCAAAAAAACTGAACCGATTTGAAAAATTCTTTCTCCGTTAAAATTCTACATTATTTTTGATGAACATAATATTTATGTGGTACGAAATTCGCCCGGTCAGCTATTTGTGAAAAAAAAAACCTACCGTAACAAATGTCGCTATTTTCTACACAAATAATTTAAAAATCATTTCAATGATTAGAAACAGGAAGAGGCGTTTGAAAAACTTTTTCCCTCTGTTTGATGGGTGTAACACGAGGGGAAAAAATCAATACAAATGGAGAAATTTTCAGTTTTGGTCTGTAGTAAAGGACGTTAGATCATATTGTTGGTCACTAATATGTCACATTGCGGCGCCACTTTTTCTTGGATAGATTCCAATTTATCCAAGTTAACGACTACACGTATGAATATTTTCCAGAATAATCAATTCTTTCAACATTTATAATAACAACAGACTGAGGTTTTGCCATTGCAGAAAAACATTATTCCACCGTTCTAGTTTTCCTTTCTCTTAGTGAAACTCGTTTGGTGGCGCAATGCTAAATCCCAGAGCGAGGGGTTGTTTGCTTAAGAAAATAAAGTTATTTAGCGGGATAGCCGGTTATAATGTGCTTGCCGGAGTAGCGCCCCACTTATCGTAAACATTACGCCCTCAGATTTTGTTGAACCCACACAATTTATTCCTAAATTTTCAAGATAAAGTAAACAAAAGCGGATTCAAATGTATAGCTACAGATATAAAGGTATGTAATGTAACATGATAAATGAGTGAATTTTTCATTAGTACATTTAACTTTAAATTGTGAATTATGTCATACTTAAGTGATTGGGTTTACCTGTAACAATACAGAGTAAGCAGAGGTTAATGTATTTGTGTATTTGCAACAATTTTTCTTAATTATAAACACATTCACAAATAGTTTTGATTTTTATTTTTTATCAATGGATTTATTTTATTGATTAAGTTATCTGAGAAAGGAACTACCATTTATTTATTTATTTATTTATTTATTATTCATTATTGAGCAATTACATATTTGATCCAAATAGCGTCCTAAATCCTTTTTAGGTTTTTTAGTCCACGTTCGTAACATTTTACGTTATACAATTTCATAATTCATATTTTTCTCGAAAAATGACTAAATATCATTAGATTTTATGACCACTTCCCACTACTGCATGACTACTGCTACGCTTTACAATTTCGTAGCTCCAAGGGGTCGCATTCGTAGTTCGTAGCACGGTTCGTAGTCTCGTAGCGCCACATCGCGGCGAATACCGTAGCATTATTGTAACGCTTAGAAGCGCCATCTCTTGTCAGTTTTCGGCTACAAGTGAAAATGGAAGTGTGTGAAAAACCTCTTGTAGCGACATCTAGCAACATAGCTTTTTATTTGTTTGGTCCGTAGCGTAGAAGGTAGTTACTTTTTCAGGACTGCACGATTCATTTCACTCGAAGACAGTCACGATATCTAGGTGGCGTTGCTGTAATGTAAACATGAATGAACCCATTCAATTCCCTGTAGTAGGTACAACGACTTCATTTTCAGCGTAAAGTTACTTACGGGATTAAAATACTCATATTTTAGGTAGCACTTAGTGTCGAACTATAGTTTAGAGGATCAAAGATTCTTTAAGCATTTTACCATTATGAGAATTTTCATAAACATGTATAGATGTGTTAAACTGTGTTTGCTTGTCCTTCTTCCATCCTGGACAAATGTATTTTTTGTATTTAGTTTGGGTTGTACTCGTATTGGTAATTTTTCCAATGGAAAAATATTTCAATGTGCCTACCGTTCAAATTAATCACACACAATTGTAACCATGGGTTGATAGTTAGTTTAGTAATAGTTTTAACCATTTAATCCATTGTGATATTAAATTATAAATTGAAAATCTATATGTGGATTGTGGAGTGGAGTTTACAAACGATTTCAATACAAGCTTACTAAGACTTTTCTATCTTTACGTAATCATATTATTTCCCTTTTTTCACAATCATCACAAGCATAATGTCTACCGCAAATAATGTAGGTACGTCAATGTACAAAAATAAACTCAATAATGTCTACCTTTAGATTCTTAGCACTAATAGGGCATGAACGGTTGTGTAACGTCCTGAACGTACAGCTATGTGCAGTATTCGAATGCAAGTCTATTGTTATAGACCTGCGCGGTGACCTAGGCCGTGCTCGCCTTTACATTAGTCTGATACAAATGAAGACCAACTTTAAAGCCAAAGTCACCAAGTTTCAAGGGCACTTCACCCGCTTCAGAATCGTCGACCTCATTTGTTAATTGCGTTTGCTGTAATTACTTAGTGTGTAGGTATTTGGAACTTTTAGGCAGGAATTTTCCTCTCGATAACGTTTTATATCTAAGTAAATTAACTCCTAAAGTCGAGTATTTTTGTTAAATTGGGCAAACTCAAACAATAGTACCTAATCACAAAAAAGCAATTTAACATTACATTGTATTAATAATTCTGTTCCTAAAAAAACTGTTTTAGAAAAAATGTATAAGTCTTTCGTCCAACATAGAAAACGTAAAGTGTTTATGTTTTATCTGTCGCCTTTGCATTTACTGCGCCGCCCAGCCCTGCGGCGCGCGCGGGGGTGCGTGCTCGCCACGCGATCACTCCGCCACGACCCGCGGCCCGGGTGCACGTCCTGCGTCTGAATTCCCTCATCTATACCATAACCTCGTTAGCCGTGACGTAAACCACGACTACATACTTATAGTGAACACAGACGGACGTCGCGAAGCGCGTAGCTGCACCGACCGGTACCAGTGCTACGGAACAGTACCAGTGCTACGACAGATAACCTTGCTCGCTGCATTTATTATTCAGTGACTGCGCTAAGCTTTAGCAAGGATGGCGCCCTTTACAGGTACGAATCTTGCATTCCATTACTATTATATTATTTCCAAATGTAGCTTACAAAGGTACTTCTACTATAATTACTATTTATTCAGATCTGCATTGTACTCTCGCAATGCGATGCAAATGACGTTTGAAACCACAATGTACCGCATACTAGCCAGTACGGATCTAAGTATGGTATCCTATTATCCTAGTTAGTGGCAGGGTTAATATTGGGACGTGTAAAAGCGCTTTTTAAAAGCCTATTTGCAAAAATAAATTAATTTTATGACTTTTTTAATTTTAAGACCATTACAACAACTAAGTATACTGAAGAATCGTTTGCTTTTTTGTAATAACATCATCCTTTCATTAGGAAAGGTACAATACCACGCGGACTGTTGAGTCTTTTAGACGACGAAATAGGTTGTATGTAACCTCATTTCATGCAATTTGGAACCTTAATTCCATTAGATACACTCCTCAACCTTATATTTACCGACACTAATGAAGTACAAATACGAGTGCACTTAGCAGCGCCACTTTTTAGGGTTCCGTAGCCAAATGGCAAAAAACGGAACCCTTATAGATTCGTCATGTCTGTCTGTCTGTCCGTCCGTATGTCACAGCCATTTTTTCCGAAACTATAAGAGCTATACTGTTGAAACTTGGCAGGTAGATGTATTCTGTGAACCGCATTAAGATTTTGATGCAAAAATAAAAAAATAATAATAAATATTGGGGGCTCCCCATACTTGGAATTGAATCTCAAAAATTTTTTTTTCATCAAACACATACGTGTGGGGTATCTATGGATAGGTCTTCAAAAATGATATCGACGTTTCTAAAATACTTTTTTTCTAAACCGAATAGTTTGCGTGACAGACGCTTCCAATGTGGAAAAAAGTTGGTCCCCCCCCTCTATCTTCTAAAATAAGAAAATGAAAAATCTAAAAAAAAAACATATGATGTACATTACTATAAAAACTACCAACAAAAATTGTTTTGAACAAGATCTAGTAAGTAGTTTTTTTTAATACCTCGTAAATTGAAAACCGCTTATTACCGCGTAATCTTTCATACAAATAACTTAAATTAAAAAATAAAATCATAAATCAATGGTACGGAACCCTTTGTGCGTGAGTCCGACACGCACTTGGCCGGTTTTTTTTTGTATTCCACTTACAAGCGCTGAAGTGGCCGTGTTTCCGCGACATGGAGAAATAATTTTCATGGTAATGTTACCATAAAATCTTACTTGGAATTTTACATTTTAGATCGTTATTTTTGTTATCTTTTAGTATAATTTAAGCTGAAAAGTTAACTGGTTATTTTTAATGGCATAAATTAACTCTAAACGTTTGAAATAGAGTTGTTTTTTTAAACTTGAACTTCCTAAACAAATATACTCACTCAGATTGTTGAAATATTTAATATCTACAATGCTATCGAGTCCCCAAAGACAGTCTTATAGAAATCGGCTACGTAATGGCATTCAAATCGGATAATGAAATCGTCGGCCTCGCTTTTTATTGGTTATATTCACAAAAGTTTAAAAGGAAAGTTGATAATAGGATTTGAAATGTTTTGAGTCGGCTTAATGGACTCTTTCGCAAGTGAATATTTTTCGGATAATTTATTTTAACGTTTTGTTCAAACTTACAAATGTGCAAAATTTGCACGTGTAAATCGCTAATTTGTACATAGTATGTCCGAACAAGTAAACCCCAGATAAGACTACTAGGTACTTCAACTACAATACAATATAATATATCATTTTAGTTGTCTTGTATAGAAAGCGTAGGTATGATATAACTAAATGGAGTCAATATATCTCCGTAGTAACAACATTCTAATCTAACAACAGAAATAATCCTATAACTCGAAACAGTACACCGAAAAACCGAGAACAAATGAGAAACAAACATTAATGGCATTACGAACTTTGATTGGCAAATGTTGGAGCCACTACACAACCAACAAAAGGCCGCGGGCCCAATCAAACGGGCAATGTCTCCAAAAGGTGCCATCAAACGGGTGCTGTGCAAACGATTACAGAACAAGCCATCGTTCGGTCGGTACAGGTGCCCTTTGGGGTCGGTAGTAGTGTTGCCAAAACTCGCTAACTAAAACCAAGGACATCCCCTTTCTTTCCACCCTATGTTATTGATCTGAGAGCTGAATGGGGGTTTAGTACAAACAAACAGTAAATAGATGTGATTCTGAAATACTCTTATTATTTTGTTCTTCCACAACAACAAAGTAAGTATGACGGAGATTAAGTATAATGTATTTATAAATACACGCCTACGAAACACCCACGAATCCACGCTTATAAGCCCTCGGTACCGTATAACAATAATACCCATTTAAGTAGAGATAGTTATACAGAAGACATATGTATTTGTACGAGTAGGTAATGTACATTTAAATGTAGGTACAATTTTTACTTCAGTTATAAAAATCATCACATACCTACGTATTTTTTGTTACGGCAATTTTTCCGATAGTTGGAACCACTTTTTACGTTATTTTTGTTACCACGCTTTTCCCGATAGTACCACAATCTGAAGGCACTACAGCTATTTAAGGGCGGAACGCCTCATTTGCCCTCGGTCACTTTACTGCCAGCGCGAGTTTCACTTAAAGCACACCGTCACGGGCCGCAATAGCGCTACCAACCTGATTCATTTGAAACGTAATTACGAACATGCTGTAGCCACCCACGCTCTACCTACCGTTTAGTACAAATAAAAGTTTATTGTAGTTTTATTTTAGTCGTGAAATAACAATAGATGAGTACTAACGACGACGCATTACATGTTACGTTTCAAGTTATGCCGCTTACTTTGTTACAATCGTTATTAGCAGCTGTTAAACATTTTAACAAGGATCTACAGGGCAAATCTTTAGAATCGTTTCATAAGGGATATCTATGAAAAGATAACGAGAACGAATGACTTAATAAAAGAACTTTACTCGTGCCTTTTCTATTTGAAAGCGCAAATATTCCCGTGACTACATTTACGAGAAGGTCACTGAACACAGTGAGTGCCTAAGTAGTTAATAATATAATATTGATGGAAAGTTATGATAATATGTAAGTTTATTCAGATACTGTGAACTTTCGCAGTTTGGATCATCTCGTTCTAAAAATAATGCTTTACTTTTATAAAATTAAATTACTCTAAGGTTCCCTAACTATTATACGTTGTATGAAGAAGCGTCGAAATAATATCTAGAGGTACCTACAGGTAAACTTAACTAATGAGCAGACAGCCTGACTACTCCAACTACCCATTAATACTCGTAATATTGAATGTTGGGAAAGTATAGTTAATATAATTTGCGGTAATCCTCGGGTTACGAACTTCAGAGCAGTGTCAAGTTCGAATTCCGCAAGCAAAAATTGTTTGCGCTAAGTACCTACATTATATTATTATAGCCTTAGGTCAAAAGTCACAACAGTTCAAGATTCTAAATGCCTTTAGCATAGAGTTAAGTCAATTTTGTGATCATTGATCGAGGCCTCGAGTAAAAAAGAAAAGGATCAAGGAAATTGTTATTTAGGTTGATGTTTTACACTCCAATTCGAGCGTTCAAAAAGGCATCCGTCGCCAGCCCAGAGCGGCACAATCCGAGTGGGTCGTCTTACGGCGGCCATTGTGTTGCAAATAGCAATTCCCTATTTCCCGAGTGCATTCCCCAGACCCGTTCGTCCCGGCATGGTTCCATTTCTTTCTAGATTAAGCATCTAGATCGAATTTTTCACGGAGCGGAAAATATTTTCAGTAGTTTTCAGTTTTTCATTCCATGTTCTCAAAATTTGGTATAAATCTAGATATAGGTACCTAGGCATAAACCCTCAAGCAAAATATTGGCTCTTTCACAAGATTCAGTTCTATATTCGCCAGTAAATATCTTATAGGTCACAAAATTATCGAACTGTTTCCGAACTTTTACAAAACTACTTTACAATGGTAACATCACTTCTATACCTATATTGTTTTGTATATTTAACATTTAACTCACTAGGTACAATACATAGGTACGTACATACATAATTCACTTTAGAAATCTATTAAAACGGTTACTTAGTGATTACTTATTTTTATTCATATATAACACGTCATTCAGGATACCAATTGATATTCAGTTTATTACTTGAATATAGGTCGAGTGTTTGCGTGAGTTTGTTACACACGGTAAGGACAATGCCATGGAAAAATCGTAAACTTACAATCACGTAACGACTTTAGCATGCTGGTAATTACACCTGAAAAACCAAACGTTTTTTGTTTAATGTACTATACATTGTTTATGTGGTTGGATTGACTGATTCTTAATAGTAACATTTACCAAGAAATACAATAACATGCACCTACGATAAAGCATATTTTTAGGACTCGTTTTATTCCAAACAACTTATTGTTTCATGGGTTACATCAACGCATATATTATTCTATACTTCTTTTTGATATAACACATGAGTAGAGATGGGTAAGTGCTAATAATCCGATTAATAGCAATTGGCTAATAACGGATTAAAAGCAGTTATTAGCCATTAATAGCTAATAATAGCCGATTTCAGATGGTAACCCTGCTATTAATGTTATACTAATGATTAAACATATCCCTTCATAGTTTACAAATTTAGCACTTGAAATTTGGAAGGGACGTAGCTTAGGTACCGTAGAGGTGCATTAAGAAAGGAATACCCGAAATTCCCACGGGCACGGGAATTAGCTGGAAAATCCTTTTGTATGAAAAATCTAAACCATGTAAGATAGACGCTTGAAATTTGGCATGCAGGTACCTTAGTAAACTCAAAGCTTAGTAACAAGAGAATATTGCAAACTTCCCACGGGAACGGGAGTTAGCGGGAAAAAACATTTGTATGAAAAAATCTAAACCACGTAAGATAGACGCTTGGAATTTGGCATGCAGGTACCTTAGTAAACTCAAAGCTTAATTATAAGAGGATATTGAAAAATTCCCACGAGAACACGAGTTAGCGGGAAAAAACAG